GAACGTTAGCAGACGACGCCCCTCTTAGGGCTCCGCCTAACAGATCTATTTGAGTGCGTAACAGTGGGACAAGATCGAAGACAGGATGATCAGAGGGAGCATAAATTGCTTCGACCTCATCAAAGAGCACACTTGGCACTGGAACCTTGAGAAGAGTAAGTAGTGTTGAGCTGCAGTCATGGACGACATACTTTGAAGTCAAGTGAATTGAATTCGTGAGGTTTCACACAAATGATTGCTGGAATGCCGTGAGGAAGAATCTTATTTTTGTCCCTGTGGGGAGCATTATGGTTTCTACGATGAGCCCATGCATCAAGCTCAGCCTGGAGCCATGGAATTGCAAGCCAGCGGAACACGTAGCTAGATAGTAGATGGAGATTGTCAGTGAATACATATGCAAGGAAGTGATGCATACCTTTGCAGCGTGTTGTGAATGTCATATAGTCCCCTAGTGACACCTTCCTCCAGGATATTCTCGAAACCTGGAGCAAAGTCCCTGCGAAGCACAGACCACATGATTTCGGGCTTGATGTTCTGGTGCTTTTGCATCCAGCAGTGCTGAAGTGTTCCGTTGAGTGCTGGATCTAGGCGGTGTCGAATCATTGTTTGTGCATTGGCAACAGCAAAATTTTCGGAGCCTGGATTGCTCTGAGTGATCAAAGGTACAGCTGAGATCACAAAAAAATGACATGATCAATATCCGATCAATGTGAGGGGCTTGGTGACATACCTCCAAGTTTTCGGCAACAGTCAAGGTAGTATCTAGGCAATAAGGCGTGGATTCTTGTTGGTCCACCAAACTTTCAGCCAATTAATCCAGCCAGTGAATGGGATCGAGGCTGATATGCAGCCATAACCCAAAGCGCAGCCATTTGTCATGCTGGTCTTGGGGCCAGACATCATTAACCCCCGCACACCAAAAACGCCTTCGTTTGAGACGTCCACAACGCCTAGCTTCCACAGCAGTTGGCTCTGTGATCTTGAGAAGCTTGGCGATCAGTTCGCTGTTCAAACATCGATTTATAGTGAACAGTACTAGCAAGTAGACAGCAACTCACCGGGGTACATGAAAGCTGAACTGCTGGCGCAGGGTCTCGTCTGATGGCCTCGGCACCTCGGTGGGGAAATCGTTGTCGAATCTCCCAGACATGCTGTTCGATGGACTCGAGAGTATGTTGTTGTTGCCTGGTTCGTTTCCAGCCCCAGCTATTTCGCATCCGACGAAAGCTGACAACGCTAGCATGATAAATTAGTTGAAGTAGTTGCACTGGACATATGTAAGACACGAACCTGAGTCCATATTCTTCCTGGTCATAATGGTCTTTGAGGTGGTGCACGATGTCAACATCACTCATGTTGAGCTTGAAATAAAACTGAGCCGGATCTTGTATTTCCCTGGCAGGAGCTATGCTCGCTCAAAAATAAGTGAAACTGGCAGTGATTCAGGCTTAACACTCATGACCTGGCTTATGCTGGTTGGTGGCGCCGAGAACGATCAGTCATAATGTTGGGAGCACGATCCTGCACTCATCAACTTGAACGTTCGAGTTGTTTTGAATTCCGTCACAGATTGTGCTGTCATTGCATTAAGGTATGATCAGCACCTGAGTTACTATCTGTAACCATTGGAGGACTCACAATTTGACAAGCAATACATCTTGAATATATCACTAGAAACATTAATATAAGTCTCTCTCAAGCAGTGGTTGGGGGTCTGACAGGTAAAAGCCAAACAAACACGCTTAGCGAAGCTGATACGAAGCTGATCACTCCCGCTTTCCATACCAATTTGGATGGTCAATCAGAATGAGCAGGAGTTATTATAATTTACGAGCCGAGGCAGAGTCGGGTCAGGGGAGAATATGTCCAGCGGAGTTTGAATACAACTACATATATAAGTACCGTCGACGCCCGCCCAGCTACCGTATATCGCATAAATCGGCGCAACCCTTTCCTCTACCTGGATGGTTTAGACAGGTTGAGCTAAAGATAGGTGGATCATTAATTCAGGCGTGTTATCCTATTGAATGCAAAAGAATATCATGCTTGACACGATCCACCGCAGGCTAGGCTCCATTCACCTTGCTGTGAGTGACAAACTTGGCGTACACAGTGGCACATCACTTTTTTCCGGTATCTATTCTTGTTCATTCACGCGTAAGCCCCCAGTATAAAAATATAAATCACTGCTGATCTCCTCTCATTCTGCTAGACTTCATATGTTATTGGCATATGTCGCTTTTCATTTGCCTGACGTTTGTCGTAGTGTCATGATAAACAGTTTATTATAGCTGATGTTGTGAATTTGTACGTTTTGTATCCCGATACATGCATTGCCTCTTCTCTCAGTTGCGTGGGCAGTAAGCCGGATTGCTATCAATATTCTTGCAAATATCTTTGACATTGAAAGTTCCTGTTAGCAATCATTCAGTGTGGTAAAACCATCAATATTCAATTATGACGTCGAGCTTCACTTTGATCGTTTTTGTAGGATTTGGACTTGCGAAACTGCTCTATAGGTACGCCCTAGCACCTGCATTTGGTGATCTAGTAACTACTGAATATAGTTGCAACAGTTTCTACTATCTCATGTAGAAGATCTTCAGACAACACTCTACCCGAAGGCCTTTTGGTCCCACTATCACCAATAAACCATATGCATAGTGGTTGGATGAGTGATTCCAGTGATATATCTCTGAAAACGCCTCACTAACGTGAACAGGTAGGATATCAGTTGGCCCGACTATACGTGAAAGTTAACGTTCACCTTGTTTCCCTTAGAATCGACAGTGTCCTCAGCCGATTGGATAGCATTAATGCTGGTGCCGTCACGTTGTAAGCCTATATCTAACTGTCTACCTTGCATGACTCGGAGACTTATTGTCTGTAGATGTTGCGCAATTCTGGTGGTCACCATGCTAAGCAGACGTCGAAGATAGTCCACCTCCAAAGCTAACTCCAATGAGTTTCTCAGTCACCAAATAATCTGGCGATCATTATTTTTGTCTAAGTCCAAAGCGCACGTCTCTCTGATCTATTTGCCACCTTTGACTCCTAGCTGATACGCTGAGCAGTCTATGTGATATCGATTTTAGCATGGTGCGTATCGTGATTTCATCATCACAGATTAGGTTAAACACTCGCAAAAGATCTGAAACGGCCAAGCAGAACCGTTCTAGTCGAGGATGTTGCGCTTTCATCAATGTCTAGCTTTTCAACATTCAAAACATCGCACCTGGCTCGTACTGCGACTGATTCTTATTCGTGATCGTTTGAGGCTCAAGTCATGGGTTTTAGCCACCGATTGAAGTTCAGGAGAGTATTGTGACGAATATTTATGGCGATACTGGAGAATTAACAACGAAGCCGCACTGACAGCCCAGTGTGGGATGGACACACTGTACTCAATCCATTGCTTATCGCCAGCGAGTTTTTAATGTTAATCGTTAGTGCATGGCAACATTGTGTAGATTAGGCCTATGCTAATCGAATGATTGATCATCTGTTCGTGGACGACAGGATTTCGGGCTGTGCACCCGGGGCGGTGACTGTTATATTACGGGCGTGCTACTACATTGATATGGCTTGGAGTGCTACGCTGGATGTTCGGAATAAAGCGCTAGCTTCAGAGGAATACCTGCCTCGCATGAAATATTATGCCTAATCCGTGATAGTGAACACACGAACAGCAACAGTAGTCATGTTATACCAACTGGACTGGATACGGAATGCATGAGACAATAGAACGGAGGGGAGCCTCACCCCCATGAAGACAGGAACTGGAAGCATACTAATGCTGGGCATCATCAGGTCCCACGTTCCGATGCTTGCGCCGCCTAAGGATCAAAATTCAGGACATGTTCATAGAGCAAAGAAGCTGCGTACATGATGCTACCAATGCGCGGGAATTTCCACCGCTTGGAGTCTACAGATGCTGCAGACCTGCTGAACATAGGAAAGCGCTTCCAAAACGACTTTGGAGGTGAGTTCAGCACTGGAGTGGAAGCTGAAGCAAGAGGTATTTGAGCACGAGGGGAACCTTGAGGGGGAAAAGATGGGGAGGGGGATGCAGCTGCACCACGCGAGTTGACGGTTTCTCGAGGCACTTGGATTCTGTCGAAAAGTTCGACTGGAAGAGAGGAGTGGACTGGAGTAGTGATTTCATTATTGGAGTGACTTTGAGGGGGTAGAGATGGGGAAGGTGAGCTAACAGCATCACGCGAGCCTACAAGTTCTGTCGCGAACTCGGTTCCATCCGGTAGCTCGTCCGAGGCTGGTGTAGAGGAGACTGAAAGAGAATCAGAGGTTGCTGATGGCTTAAATAAAACTTGCGTCAGATACACTGGAGTATAGACAAGACGGAAATTCATTACCTGGTCGATGATGTTAGACGCTGGGGAAACGAATGAAGGCGACACAGTATTCGTCATAATGGTGGACTGCTGTGATATATCCCACAGGAAGATTGTGTTTTCCTGACTGCCTGTGGCAACAAGCTGGCCGTCCGGCGAGAAGGCTACCGTGTATACCTCAGAGGCATGCTGGAGTACACGACCAAAAGGTTTGCGGGTAGAGGTGCTCCACAGCCTCGCAGTGTGATCATGGGATGCACTGGCTATCAATTCACCATCAGGTGAGATGGCCAACAAGCTAATGCTGTCGGAATGTGCACGCAGTGGGGATCCGAGCTGGGCACCAGTCGGTGCACTCCAGAAGTAGATCTGGCCATCATCACAGGCAGAAATGAGACGACGACTGTCTGGAGACCAGACTATCGAGCATACTGCATTGTCATGGGAAAGTGGTTGTGTTTGCTGCTTGCCGGTCGTTGCGTTCCAGATGCGAACCGTCTGATCATATGACCCGCTCGCAATCTTGGTTCCATTGGGAGAATAGGCAACTGTCCATACACCGCGCTGATGATCATCGATGTCGAACACAAGTTCCCATGTCTCTGCGTCCCAGATCTTGAGTGTGCCGTCGCGCGATGCGGAGGTGAGTCTTTTCTCGTCAGGTGAGAACCTTACCCAAATGACCCAGTCTGTGTGATGCGACAGACATATGATGATCTCCTTCGTATCTGCGTCCCATATGATGATCTTGCCATCTTCCGCCCCACTCACAATTCTGCTTCCATCCATTGATACAGCCACTCCACAAGTTCTACTAGCGTGTCCTTCCAACGAGTGTTCCTGTTCTCCTGTTTCCACGTCCCAAATTCGAACAGTCTTATCGTTGGATGTGCTTATGACTTTGAGTTTATTCCTGTTTTTTGAGAACAACACTTCTTGTACAAGGTCAGTGTGGCCTCTGAGCGATTTGATTGGGGATAGGGATGGTTCCATGTGATCGTTGGCAGTGTGGATGTGGGTGAGATCAGTCGAGCCAAAGTAGATCAGCGTTACTGGGCAAGAGCGATCAGATGGTAGTACATAGAAAGTTTAAAACGTTTAAGGACCGCTAAGGATCGAGCCGAAAGAACAGGCGCTCATCGCACATACTTAGAGCGCCTATGGTGTCAAATAAATGTGATCAACGGTTGTGTGTATCGTGCATCGCCTGTATCGGACTACCATCAGAAAGTACAGGAACATCGACGATTAACTTGCATAACAGGGTACACCTTTCTAGTCCGGGCCCGGAATAGATCTTGTACCAACAACTTCCGACACACTTGATAGTCTCTCACGAGTGTGCTCTGCAGCATGTCTTAAATGAAGCGTCAACCAGAGTGTTCAAACTGATGAGAAATCGACGCACGCTGGCAGCAACCACGCACTGCTTCTCGCAGCACCAACTAATGTTTATGCCTTCCATGTGTGCCGAAGGAAAGGCTAATGGAGAGAGAGAGCGGATGATCAACCGGGTAGCTGTCGTTCGAGTCAATGACGATAGCAAAATTCAAATGATTGCAATTGACGCACCATCATGTACCAGTCTATCAGACGAACCAGAGTAATACTAGTCAGAGCAGGACGCGATGCACGTGACCGCGTTTGATGAGCTTAGAGCCGTCTTGATCCGGGCCATCGCTGCTCAAAATGAGCACAGTACTGTTTAGAAGTAGACCCGTCGCCGACATGGGGCCTCATTCAAATAATTCACGGGCCCCGTTTGATTACCAGTCTTATTGTAGTATGTATGTCTATCATCGACTCCGAATAGCGAAAGCTTAGCCCGAGTGTACCCGGCGCAAGGTAGCCTATTATATGCCACTTTCATCCCGATGATATGGTATTCCTTGAACCTTCTATCTGCATCTCCTTCAGTTATAGCTATCTCTCCTGGTAGTTGTGGAATGGTGAACCGGAGTATGCGACTGCGTTCCTGGCGAGGATCGTGCGGGTGCCCGATACTTATGTGAGATGAGCCGGCGCTGGCTTCAGAGGAATACCTGCCTTGGATAAAATATGGTGCCTAATCCATAATAGTGAACACACGGACAACAACAGTAGTGATGTTATATCAACTGGACTGGGTATGGAATGCACGATACGATAGAACGGGGGCCAATGACGACAGGAACCAGAAGCACGCTAATGCTGGACATCATCAGGTTCCACGTTCCGATGCTTGCGCCGCCTAAGGATCAAAATTCAGGACATGTTCATAGAGCAAGGAAGCTGCGTACATGATGCTACCAATGCGCGAAAATTTCCACCGCTTGGAGTCTACAGATGCTGCAGACCTGTTGAACATAGGAAAGCGCTTCCAAAACGACTTTAGATGTGAGGTCAGCACTGGAGTGGAAGCTGAAGCAAGAGGTATTTGAGCACGAGAGGAACCTTGAGGGGGGAAAGGATGGGGACGGGGATGCAGCTGTACCGCGCGAGTTGACGGTGTCTGGAAGCACTTGGATTCTGTCAGAAAGCTCGACTGCAAGAGAGGAGCGGGCTGGAGTAGTAATTTCATGATTGGAATGACTTTGAGGGGGCAGAGATGGGGAAGGTGAGGTAGCAGCATCACGCGAGCCTACACGTTCTGTCGTGAACTCGGTTCCATGCGGTAGCTCGTCCGAGGCTGGTGTTGAAAGAGAATCGGAGCTTGCTAACGGCTTCAATAAAACTTGCATCAGATATACTGCTGTGTAGGCAAAATGCAAATTTATTACCTGGTCAATGTAGCTCGTGATGTTGGATGCTGGGGAAACGAATGAGGGCGACACCGCATTCGTCATGATGGTGGATTCCTGTGATATGTCCCACAAAAATATTACGTTCTGCACATCCCCGGTGGCGACAAGCTGGCCGTCAGGCGAGAAGGCTACTGTGGCTACCTCAGAGGCATGCTGGAGCACACGACCAAAAGGCTTTCGGGTAGAGGTGCTCCATAGCCTCACAGTGTGATCCCTGGACGCACTGGCTATTAATTCACCATCAGGTGAGATGGCCAACAAGCTGATGGCGTCTGAATGTGCACGCAGTGGGGATCCGAGCTGGGAACCAGTCGGTGCACTCCAGAAGTAAACCTGGCCATCACCACAGGCAGACATGAGACAACGACTGTCTGGAGACCAGACTATCGAGCCCACTTGTGCGCCATGGGAAGTGGTTGTGTTTGCTGCTTGCCAGTCCCTGCGTTCCAGATGCGGACCGTCTGATCATATGACCCACCCGCAATCTTGGTTCCATTGGGAGAATAGGCCACTGTCCATACAAAGCCCTGATGATCATCGATATCGAACACAAGTTCCCATGTCTCTACATCCCAGATCTTTAGTGTGCCGTCGCACGATGCGGAGGCGAGTCTTTTCTCATCAGGTGAGAACCGTACGCAATTGACCCGGTCTGTGTGATGCGACAGACATCTGATGATCTCCTTCGTATCTGCGTCCCATATGATGATCTTGCCATCTTCTGCCCCACTCACAATTCTTCTTCCATCCATCGATACAGCCAGTCCAAGAGTCACACTAGTGTGTCCCTCCAACGAGTTTTCTTGTTCTCCTGTTTCCACGTCCAAATTCGAACAGTCTTGTCGTCGGATGTGCTTATAAGTTTGAGTTTATTCCTATTTGTCGAGAACACCACTTCTTCTATCAAATCAGTGTGCCCTCTGAGCGATCTGATTGGGGACAGGGATGGTTCCATGTGATCGTTGGCAGTGTGGACGAGGATATGTGGGTTGTGGGTTAGATCAGTCGAGCCAAAGTAGATCAGCGTTACTAGGCAAAAGCGATCAGATGGTAGTACATAGAAAGTTTAAGGACCGGTAAGGATCGAGCCGAAAGAGCAGGCGCTCATTGCACATACTTAGAGCGCCTATGGTGGCAAATAAATGTGTGACCAACGGTTGTGTGTATCGTGCATCGCCTGTATCGGACTACCATCAGAGAGTACAGGAACATCGACGATTCAACTTGCATATCAGGGCATACCTTTCTAGTCCGGGCCCGGGATAGCTCTTGCACCAACAACTTCCAACACACTCAATAGACTCTCACAAGTGTGCTCTGCGGCATGTCTTAAATGAAGCGTCAACCAGAGTGTTCAAACTGATGAGAAATTGACGCACACTGGCAGCAACCACGCACTGCTTCTCGCAGCACCAACTAATGTTTATGCCTTCCATGATGTGCCGAAGGAGAGGCTAATAAAGAGAGAGAGCGGGATGATCAACCAGGTAGCTGTCGTCTAAGTCAATGATGATAGTAAAATTCAAATGATTGCATTAACGCACTATCATGTATCAGTCTATCAGACGAACCAGAGGAATGGTCAGAGCAGGACGCGATGCACGTGACCGCGTTTGATGAGCCTTAGCGTTCGTCGAGCCGTCTTGTTGGGCCATCGTTGCTCAAAATGAGTACTGTACTGTTTAGAAGTAGACCCCCTCGCCGACATGGGGCATCATTCAGAGTCATTCACGGACCCCGCTTATTACCAGCCTTATTGTAGTATGTCCATCATCGACTC